AAGAGTGTTTCTCAGGAAAGGGAGGACCCTGAGAGACCTTTCATCGAACATCCCCACGGAGCCCTGCGGTCACAGGCTGTGGGTTGGAGTGGGACGTGGCTGCTTTCCGTCCCTCCGGCTGGCACCGGGATACGGCCGAGAAAGAGATGAAGAAAGAAGAAGTCCCTCTCTTCAGCACGGGAGAAGCCTGGGTCTGATTCATACCTTGTACGCCTTTCATTCAGCAACGGCGTAAAGGCACAGAGCAGGACTGAGCTGTGTTGCAGAGACCGCGGGCCAGCTCTGTCTGGGGTTGAAACTGTGCAGGACAGGTAACTGCCAGCGCCAAACGTTTGTCAGTAGAGTCATAGGCTCATCTGATAAAGAAACTGTAAAAATCACAGGACTCGTGCAACTCCGTGACCCCGCAGCTGGAACTCATGGAAGTTGCAGTGCTGTGAACTACATCCAAGCGTTCAGAGATTGCATAGCTTTAACAGAAAAAAAAACTACTAAATGGCAAAGTCCTTTACAAGAAGGATTGTACTTGAACATTTTTTGAATTTACTGCTAAGCATAGCTAAATTTTTCAGTATCCTATATATTTCACGTGCAGCTGTAGCCCAGAGGTTGTTAGGTGAGTTTATTTAGCAGTTTAATGTCTTGTGTTAATTCACTGCGATGGAGGGCAACATCTACTACCTTGATTATTAAGTAAGTTCAATACAGAGTTATTATGAAAATGATTAAACTGAACCTGAGCACAGTGATAACGCCGGTGACTGAAGATGGCTTGTTTCTTGCAAGAGCAAGAGCACTTGAAAAGAGGCACCTATGAGGTGGCTGATAAAACTGAAGTCGTTCCATGTGGGTAGTTACCAGCAATGGATGTCATTGTTTCACATCCTTGTCGAGTCCCACTTCCCCACTTTCTCCAAAGTATGGGCGACCAATACCTTCTTTCTGAAATATCTCACTTTTTTCCCTCCTTGGGTCGTCTTCTCTGTTCCCATCACTTTATATCCTAGGTTTGTGTTACTTGTTATGACTTTCAGAATGATACAAAGTGCTGTTCAAGCCACTTCTCTGTCGTGCCTCACATTGGGTTTTCAGTGATGCTACCCTTCACCATACTAGGAAGGCAAGATTTACTCATATTTTATCACCATTAACTCAATTATTCCAGCATTAAATGTTGATTTACTCAACAAGGTGACAATGAATTTAACATGAAAGTTTGAAATAAATCATATCAGCATTCACATTTTTACCTCTTTTTCTCTTTTTCCTTTTAGTGCAAGGAAACATACTAGACAGCTATGTGAGAACAGAGGGAGCTTGGCTGCTTAACCCAAGGAAGCAAATTTATAGAACAAATAGTAAAGAAGAATGTGCAGAGCGATGTGAAACTGAAAATAAATTTACTTGCAGGTAATTTCCAATGGTTCCCACATATATCTTTCATTGTAGATGATGGAGCAATCTGCCATATTTATCAGCAGTCTGAACTTTTGAGGGATTTCTTAGGAGTATGTGTGTCTGAGGTTTGCTGGAAAAACAAAAGATATATAGAAACGGAATGCCTGGGACATACGGATGAAGACAGCAGAAAGAGAAATTAAGAAAATCATGTTGAATTTTTGTTGGAAAACATAATGACATCTTGATGCATAGCTTGGCGCACTGAAAACCAACTTGACATGGTTTTATGAAGATTTTTGTACTCTTTTTACAATAAAGAGCTTGGAAATTTAGGACAGCAATAATGGCATTGCTTATGTTCATTTCTTTACCTATTATCTTGCAGATACATCCATTACTCTGAATTTTACTAGAATTTGGACTTATGTAACTTCTGTTTACTTTGAGAAAGAGACAGCCATCCAAACCTTAACGGTCCCAAACCCTACTTCCAGCCAAGCCCTCTCTCTGCACTTGCATTTAACCAGGGGCTAGAAAGCATGAAAGACGTGGACCAGACTGTGCCACTGGCCTTTACCCAGGCTCCTGCCTCAGGGAAGCCTTTTGCTTTGAGCCGGAGGCTTCTGAGCCTCCCGTGCCAAAGCCTTGGAGCCCACTGAGGTTCAGCAGTACCGCAGGCAACGGGAGTACCGAGGAGAGAGAGATCTGCTCCTGCAGTGGGAGGCAGTCCTCACGTACAAGGCAGGGAGATTTTCTCTTCTGTCTTCATGACTTCTTGATCTCCCACTTGTGCAGCTTATCTTTTTGAACTCAGCAGACTGTCTACAGGGCTGTTTCCAGGGCTTGGTTCTCCATCAGGCTTTTATTCAAGGCAGAGGTACTCTGGTGCTGCTTTTTTAAATGTGTTTTGTAACTTTGTGTTTTAAATCAAAAGGGAAAATGAGACTTATTTTGAAGAGATGCGACCCTGAAGGATGACAGGGGTTTGCTGTCCGAGCGTGTGAAGTACCACCCGTTCCCCTTGATCTGACTCCCCTCTCTGAAAACCACAGAGACGTGCGGAGCATCAGTAGTACTTGGCTCAGGAGGGTAGGGAGGAAGGCAGAGAGGGCAGGTCTGTATATTCAGATTATACATTTACAGTTTGAAGATGATTATTGTTCCCTTTTGAGGCATATTCAGACACAGCATCATTCCTTATCCTCTGCCTTGGTTCTGAGCCTACCATCACCTGACACTGTAATAACATCAGAGTGTTTTGTCCTTGGCTCCCTAATTAATTATGTGAGATCTATTGCAATCAATACAGAACAGATGCTATTTGGCAGGGAAACATCTGAGGGAAGAAAGGTAAATGTTAGGCAGAGCTTTAAGGCCAGGCCAGCACTGCGGCACCCTCATGTTAGTGCTTCAGACCAATGAGTTCAGATCAATACTTCAGACTTGTTACCCCACCTTAGCAGTGTGTTGGACCATGCTCGTTAGCTACATCCCTACTTATAAATTTAACATTACAGAGAGCTGGGCTTGGATGGAGGGGAACAGTCCCCAGTTCAGTTTTGACCCAGGACAACCAGCACTGCCCTGACAACTCATGGACATGGTTGACAGCAGGGAGTCCAGACGTGATCCCTCTCCTGCGTGGATTTACAAGTACGGGCACACTGGGACCGTGCCAGTTGGTCACAGGGCTACAGAACGGGCTTTGTCAGTGTTTGCTCTCCTGGTATAGACTGATCCACTGAATGAGATACTGCTACTGCTTTTTTTTTTTGGTTCAGAGAAGCAAGCTGTAAAAATGACTTAGCCTGTCAGGAGTTTTCCTTAGATGCTGTTGTAAAGGTTACACCATCCCCTCCAGTTTTGCAGACTTACAGCCTAGGCACTCGCTGAAAAGACAAACAGCAGTGTTTTCCAAAGTGCTTACATGGCTTCATGTACGATGACTCAGAACAGTTATCACAAGGTAATTTAAGGTCCTGACTTGTTGTGTTTTACCTGTTCCCTGGTAACTGCTGAATACTGTAGAATGTCTCGCTTCCTGAATGACCGCTAATTTTTTTTAAAATGAGGTCAAGGTCCCTTGTGCATATATCTTTTTCAGCATGTTCTCTGGAGTGTCTGACACATTATAAACCTTTTTTTTAATCCCTTGTTGTAGTTTGTTCATGTAGCTCCTTTTCAACCTAAGTTTCGTATGAAGACTTAGGAGTTAGAGTCACCACTGAAAACAAGAGATGTAATACTCAATGATTTGTGAAACATCATTCAATCTTAAATATCACTGAAGTGCAGCACTTGCTAAAATTATAACTGAATACTAGAGTTCTTCAGGAAAATAATGCACATATTCAGCTATTATTTCTTACATTGCTCTCTCCTCTTAATTTCAACAGGGCCTTCTTATTCACCAGTAAAGACCAACAGTGTTTGACATTGGCTGAGAACACCAAAACAGCAGTGATATTCAGAAGAACAAATGCAGTTCTTTATGAAAAAAGAAGTATGTCTATTTTTTTTTATATTATTTCACTGAGATATGCTTTCCAGCGGGACTCACATAACCCTACTGTAAATGGAGGCTAAGCCTTCACAGGATCAGACAAAGTGGGTAGTTCTGCCCTTACCTAAGACCTGGGTTTTGCCACATTATTCGTATAGCAGCGGTACCCCTTTTTTTTTCCCCCAGATTAGTGCTCCAGCGTCTTTCCTGCTGCCTAAATCCTAGGGTCCAGAGGCAGAAAGGAGCACTGTTGCTCAGGGAACGCAGAAGGTGCTGGGAGTAATGGAGATGCTTAAGGGTCCCTTCCCGCCTCTCCTTTTAAACCAGCCAACAACCGACAGCTGCATCTTCTCCCTCTCTGCTGAGGGTACTAGGAGGAGCTACTTGTGCTGGCAGTGGTCTCTGGGACAGACCTTTGCCCACGGGAAAACTGATGGAAACTACCAAATAATTTCATTTCTATCACTAAAGAAAATTCACAGTTTACTTGGGTGGGACTCAAATCAACTTTCTTTTAGTTGCACACCTTGTCGGAAGTATTAGAGTGTTAACTATGCTTCAGATAAAAATGATCCATTTGTATAGTGTTTGTATATCGTTATATAATGTTTATACTCTTCAGTTAATGAATTTGGTGAAACTTTTATCTTGATCTATATTTTTATGGTGTAATTAATTGTAATTAATTAATCAATTGTAATCAGTTGAATTTTAGTGTTGTCCTTTTGTACATGTTTTATTTCTGATCATTTTTGTCATAGATGAGGATTATTTGATCTCCTATTCTTTCTGAAAATAGGAAGTCTGTCTTTGAGAAATGACAACTATCCAATTTTTTTATCATCTCTTTTAAAAATCTATCACCTTATGCTAGATGCAGACAAACAATTGGGTTTTAAGTCTATTTTTTAATTAAATAATCAAGCACAGAGCTCTTTCTATATACAGGGAAGAAGGAATGTGTTTTCCTTTTGATGTATCATAAATTTCATTGTGTTGTTCTCTGGCTTTCGTAAGACACAAGGGAGAAAAGATCTCTTTCCTGATCATTCAGATGTAAGATAATGTGGTAAACTTTGAATAGAATTACTACTGTTCTGTGTTAAATTACTTTGTGAACATTGCCTTTCACCATTTGCTGATTTGTTACTTTCTAAAAAACATTAGTGCATTTGAGAATATTCAGAAATTAGAAAATACAGTATCTATCAAGAAGTTGGTCTCCTTTAACAAAGGAAGGTGCATGAAAAGGAAAAATTAACCAGATTCTCAGCTGCTGCAAACCATGCAGTGGTTTCAATAGGCCAGTTTCTAACCACAAGTCAAGAATCACAATAACTAGACTGTAAATGCCAATGAGCACCAGAAGACAGCATCCTTACTTCTCTGTTGACCTGCAAAGACTTGCAGGATAAGATAATGCTATGTGTATAGCACCTGCAAGAAGATTTTATATAGTAGTTCAATAGCTTTAGCTGGTCTGCAGCTGAGCATCCAAATCAGATTTTATTCAGACATTGTGGATGTAAGGAAAATAATTTTTCACAGGGCGGGTAGGTAAGGAGTGGACCACATTGCCCAGGGAGGCTGCAGAGCCTCCACCCTTGCAGATATTGACTGGGCAAAGCTCTGGGCAGCCTCATCCAGCTCAGAAGCTGGCCCTGCTTTTTATGGGGGTTTGGACCAAAGACCACTGAGGATCCTTTACAGCCTGATATTTTCTGAAGTGTACAGCCAGCTGCCTTTTTTGGGATATACAACTGATAGGTAATTTAATGTTTTGAACATAAGATATTTTTATTATATCCAGAAGCTGGTGGGAATTTCCCTGGATCATGATTAAGTAATGCTAAGAAATTTTCTGCAATTCCTATGATAGAAGGAAAACTGAATGGATCAATTGGCAAGTAAGAAAGTTTAAAGATTGAACGAATAACTTACATGTAAATAATCCTTTCTGATTTTGCTTCAGTACTGTGATTAGGAGCTAGACTGTGATTCTGGTTTATTTTTGAGACATCCCTTATATTTGCTTCAGTTAGAACCTGGATGGGAGTCCTGCAATATTCAGTGAGGATTTGTTACTGCATCCTTTTAAGCCCTTTGAGGTCATAGGCATGGATTTTAGTTTCTTGAAAAACAGAAGCCCATCAGTAAAGGTGTGAAAAACTGTAGTTTTACAGAACAGAAATGTCCAAAAATTGCACATCTACCCGCAGAAAACAAAAGATGGACCTGGGTGTCATGAACATCCAAAACGCAGCCGATTGTGTACCTGTCAGATGGTTCCTCTGTTGCTCATCTCTTCGTTTGCAGAGAGTCTCAAATAATTATGTGTCCATTCTAATGACAACATCCCTTTATTCTATTGTAACAGAATAGAATGGAAAATGTGGCTTTTACCTAGGCAGACCACATCACTGTCTCCAGCAGCTGCTGCCACCCTGGTACTTCAAGGAAATTCCTTTCACATGCCCAGCTTTTGCAATACTATTGCTGAAACCAACATTATTCTTTTCAGTTGAAGCAATTACTTGATGAGACCTAATTGCTCTTTATCATTGCGTTCAAAGAAAAGGATGATAATTGGTATAAAATTCACAGTTTGAATTTTTTTTTTCCCCTGTGTTATGTGCTGTAAAAGAGAAAGTTGACCTTCTCTGACTTATAGAAAAAGTAATAAGAATTAAAGTTAGCATTTGGGAATTGTTATCCACATACCTGTTTGTAAATAGTTAACCCAAGGGACATGGGTTGAGTTTGGGGATCAAAGTTAGTTATTTGCCATCAGGCAGAAAAAAACCCTAAAGGTTATATAAACAGTCAAAAGTTTATGCAAACAAAAAGAGTCAGCACTTGACTGATTCAGTGTTCAGTTATTGAGGTTTTTAATGTTAATTTATTGCAAAATTGTTTGAGGGATCCGAATGGCTTCCAGCTAAAGTTTCTGGAGTAAACTTGCCCGTATATATACATTGAAATAAAGATGTCTGTAAAGGTACATCTATAAACCCAGATCTAAACCGCCTAGTGGCCCACAGAAGAGCTGGACCTCATTTCAGATTCAAATATTGATTCTTTTCATTTTTGACTAGACAAACCTGTGTAAAATGGCATTATTCCTCCTGTTAGTCTTCTGCTTGTGTGTCAGCTTTGGTATAGCTTTGATGCAGAGAAAAACTGATGCAAAACTGGGTCTCCACAAATATCTGATTTGGACACAACTTAAAGACATTGAGACAAACCAGGTCACAACCTAAAAGACGGATTACTCCGTTGCAGCTAGAAAGGAAGAACTGGCTGCTGGAATATGCCCTGTGCCTGGAGCAATGGTAAATGAGTTTCCTCCTTAGTTTTCCAAGCCGGAGGACACGTTGCCTGACAGTGACTGTCCCTAAACTGCAGATAGAGGAGCTCTGAAGGAATGTGCCAAGAGGCTGCAATGGGGCTATGGTTGCTTCCCCCTCTTGGGGAAAAAAGGGCAGCATTGACCTTTCAGTTCTCATTTAATTGAATGATTAATAATTTAAAACAATTTAATGGTTTTAAGGCTACATAAACATCCCAGGCTTATTCAGCATTAAAATTCCCCTTGACATATAAAGACAAGATTTCATTGTTAATTCTTTCACTCCTTCTTTTTCTTTTTTTTTCATGAAGGTACTATTAAGTTCCAAAATCTTATCCAAAAACATATATAATACACACCTTCAACCAGATATCGATTTTATCTTGCACAGCAGAGAGTCGTTGTTTTAGCATACCATCAATTAATTAAATCTCATTCATCACATGGTGAACTTTAATGAAACAATGTCATCCACATTTATATGAACTTAAAAAAAATTTCCTTGTTTAAACTGGTAAAATACTATGTATATGCATCTGTGATTCTGTCCTGTTACCTTTTTCAGCTGAATTCAGGTAGCTTCTCTTTTAAGGTTTAATTTTAATTACTGTGCATACCTATAATAACATCATAGGAAGCACTGAAAACAGAATGTGTTTCTGTTTTGTTATAGCACACATTTAAATGTTAAAAGCATATTTTTTTATTTAAATCTACTATAGTATGTTCTCAAAAGAACCGGGTTGTGTTACACTTATCTCTCTGGAATTCTGGTTTGGAAATTTTTGGCTGTCACATTAATCTTTCAATGTTAATTAATTTAACCTAAACATCAGATAACTCATAGGTTTTTACAATGTGAGTGGTTTATTTTTGATGGCATAAGAAAGTCAAAATATGATCAAATGTATTTAAATGTATTAGCATGAAAATGGATTTTTGTATATGCTAAAATCCAATGGACATGTCATGATACTGATTAATTAAGCACATATCATTTCAGTTTATCTTCTAGAATGCAAGGAGGGAAAAGGGGTGGATTACAGAGGAACAGAAGCCAAAACTCAGAAAGGTGTGCCGTGCCAGAAGTGGGTTGATAATGCCCCCCATAAACCAAAGTAAGGCCTTTTCATATATGTTTATGTGTTTTTCTGAAATTTTGCTTTGCCATTTGTATGTGTTAAGTAGTCTTATAAGCAGTTTGTTTGGTGTTCAAAGTCTGCTTATAAAATATTTTTCTGTACTTTTCTAGAATAAGATAATTCTCTAATCTGAGTTGTGACTCGGAGACCTGCAATTGGGGCTGCATGATTAACAGGGACATTATCAGTCTTGGCAGTTTAAATTTTGTGGTCCTTACATGAGCAAAACACTAGACAGGGAACCATCAGGTTCTGCTGAAATAAAAATTTTCCAATTATCTCACCAGGGCAAGAGCTTCTTCTCTTGGCTAAAGGTATAACACGCAGCAGATGTGTCAGAGGTACATCATTTTGTTAGTGAATCCACAGATGATTAACAGGACAATATTTCTTGTATTTAATGTAAAACACTCAACTGAGTTTGTTTAGTAACCTCCTATTGAGAAGGCATAGCATTCGGGTTACAGAGAACTCTCACATTTCAGCAAATATCTTCTCATTGAGTCTCCCAGGGAACATGTCGCAGAGGAGACTTTTCTCTACATGCTACATGATACCTCGACTGCGCAAAAATTACTGGAAACTGAATAGCTGGGATAAATGCAAGTATTACAGATGTGACTGGCCTTAGAGGCACCATATTCCTGAAGTCTGTAGCTATGGCACTTCTAACTCTTCAGCAGTGGCACATAGTTGCAATTAGGAGACTTCTAGCAAACATCATCTACAGAATGGTCCTCAGCTAAATATTTCATTTTTAGAGTCCTCAGCTGAACAACTAGGACCCTTTCCTTACTCTCTAACCCCATTTAATTCTATTCCAGTTACACACCTGAAAAATATCCTGATGCAGGACTGGAGGAAAACTACTGCAGAAATCCCGATAACGATGTAAAGGGACCCTGGTGTTACACAACAGATCCTGCTACCAGATTTGATTACTGTAACATCCCTGAGTGTGAAGGTCAGGATACATTTACTGATTTCTTTCCCTTTTCGGAAGATGTGTTAAAGAATATGAAGTTATTCAGATATTTTTATTTTTAATTGAGTATTTGTTCCAAACTTGAGTTCAGTTCAACCTGAAACTTTCCAAAGACATTTTCAACACCAACAAGGTGTTGAAAAAGACCCCCAAAACAGCTACACAAAGTCTTTTTTTTTCCCTAGATAAAAAATGTGGTATATGAGTGTATTCACTTATCAGAATCCTAGAATTGAACTAAATGGCAGTTGCTAGTGCAAAACTCAATAAATGTGTCAGCAGCAAAGCAGATTTTCAATTATAGCCTAGTAGTTTTAATTTGGCTCTTTAAAAACTATAGTCTATAATGTTGATCAACTAGTTAAAGTCATCTTACCAAGAAAAATAAGCTTTCACTTTGCCAAAAAAAATATTGTCCTTTTAGCCTTGTGCTCTGATCAAGCTCTTGAGCTTCATGTGAGATGAGTGTTTATGGACCAGTTCCTCAAGGACTTTCTGTCTCTCTTGTCCTCATTTCGCCTTGCTCCTACAGTGGAGTGCATGCACTGCAGTGGAGAAAACTACCACGGAGTAGTTGCGACAACGGTGTCTGGGCTTGAGTGCCAGCGCTGGGACTCCCAGCAACCTCACTCTCATGGATACCTCCCGGAAAAGTGAGTCAGACTCTGTGATGGGTTGTTTATCATCAACGGTGGCCTGAAGACCACCCTGCCCCAGACAGGGTAATTGTTACAGCCATTACTGACTTTTTTTAAAAATTATTTTTCCTGTTCAGTTTTCCAGAGAAGGATCTGAAGATGAATTATTGCCGTAATCCCGATGGTGAACCTCAACCCTGGTGTTTCACTACCAGCCTGACTAAACGCTGGGAATATTGCAACATTCCTCGTTGCAGTGAGTCTGACTCCTAGACACAAAGACATCTAGACAGCTTCCATTCAGGGTGGTGCTAGAACAAATAGAAGAAGCCCCAAAGATAAAGGAAATAATAAAAGACTGTTTTTAACTCAAAGTAAAAAATAAATAACCTTGAAATGAACCTCTGATAGCTCTTTTGAGGCTAGACATTTCTGGCACAGGCATTTCTGATGGTTTTATCTGGAGCACATCTCCCTTCCTTGATGAGTTTTTCCATGACCAGGCATTTCAGTGGTTCTGATGTTTCTTCTGATGTTCCTCTTTGATATCAAATGGTTTCACTCTTCCTGAAAATCTTTTGACTTTTGATTTGCTCTTCCAATTCAATTCTCCACCTTTTCAATTTCCTTTTCACCTAAAGGTCTGTCTTTGCCACGATGCTTATCTTTGGGGCTTGTTGCCAGACCTCATCCTTGCTGTCTCTGACTCTCACCAGAGTACATCTCTTTTATATCTGCATCTATACCTGTACCTATCACTGATGAGCCGGCCACTTTCACCCCGGTTTTCTTCACAGTATTACCACTTGCTCACTTTCCAGCTTTGTTCTGATGAGGCTACTCGCGCTTGCTTGTGTTGTGTTGTGTTGTGGCTGCTGTAAAGGGGCAGGTGCAAATGCCCTTCTGGCAGTCTGACTGCTTGTGAAGATGCTAAAATGGAAGAAAGAGAAGTTAAGGTATTTTTAGATCTTTTCTCTACCTTTTGGACTTTCCAAACAATTTTGATCTTTAAACCTTACCTGCAAAGAAAGCTAAAAAGCCAGCTTAATTATAAAGCTGAGCACTTTTGGTTTTGTTTTTTACTGTGTCTAGAAGGCACTGCTTAATTTTGGTTCCTTTTTCTGTGATAGCAACACCCCCACCAGTTCCTGCGCCGGGGCGTCAGTGTCTATCAGGAAGAGGAGAAGACTATCGAGGCACAATCTCTGTTACTGAATCAGGAAACACCTGTCAGCACTGGAGTTCCCAAACTCCTCACAGACATGCTCGCACTCCTGAAAACTATCCCTGCAAGTAAGCAAAATCTCTCCGTTATTATTCAGTGTCCATGCGAAGCACCGAGGCACAGAATTACTTCACTTTTCTTCAACTGTATTGCAAAGTTCTTTGGTTACACCAGCGTTCATCACCCGCTAGATTCCACCTTTTCAATTTTTTTGCACATTTCTTTTTATTCACTTCTTTGGTTTTGGGTACTAGTGTCTCCTCTTCTGACTTTCAAGCTCTGCTTGGTTGACTTTTTCCCTCTTCAGTTCATCCTTTTACCACCGTATTGTTGCTCAGGTGAAGCAAAGTGGAGTAAAAAGTTACAATTGTGATTCTTTTATCTAGATTCTTTCTTTAGCTAGATTTCTTTAGCTAGATTCTTTCACCCTATGTTTCTGCTGTGCTGCTCTTGGCCTCAAAAGTACTACAAGAAATACAATCTCTTAGTTCATCCATCAATCTAGCAGGGGTCTGGTTTAGCACATCCAAAACACCAGGGCATTGCAGTTACTCACCTAGTAAATGACATCAGTAAATGACAGCAGCGGTTACCCCCCAGTCAATACAACAGTAAACTAGGCAGCAAAGTACATTCTCCTCTTGTTTATAACCTTTACTAGGTTTCCATGAGGGGCTTTTCTTAGCCGTGTTTTCTGTTTCAGGAGCCTAGAGGAAAACTACTGTAGAAATCCCGATGGTGAGAAGATGCCATGGTGTTACACCACCAACAGAACCGCCCGGTGGGAATATTGCACCATCCCCTCCTGTGATGGGACAGAGCCAGAGGCCCCTGGTAAGAACAACGGGAGACATCTGGAAATGAAGGCTTACCATGGTTTATTGTGAAAAATCTCGTATGACTCTACTCAGTTGTATTCTTGCTGTCACTGTCAGTATTTCTATGTACAATTGAATTCCTGAGCCTGGTGTGGAGCCCAGGCTGGTATGTGCAATCTGGTGGATAAGTACAGAAGGATTTAAGTCATCCACTGACCCAGCTCAGGAAAAATTGCAGTAACAGAAGTCTTCTCCTTTTGCCAAGTGCTGGTTCCCTCCACCTTTAAATTTTCAAATGTTCCATGGAAAAGTTAATTAGCTTTATGTGCCAGCTCCTGAAAAACTGAATCTAAAGCAAAACCTAAGATAATTTAAGAGCACTGAACCAAGACCTCATAAAAAGCAATCAAAAGAAAACTCTCCTTACACAAGGCAGGCTTGTTCCACACATGCATCTGTGGCAAAGGAACAGATATTCCCCTGCCCTGGAGATGTTTTGATCCACATGTGAACTATTTGGATTGTTAGCTGAAATAAATCCCCATGCATGACAGTAAAATTGATGTACAAGTGCTTTTAATCCAGCCTATCATGAAATTTTTACAAACATTTTTTGAAATCTTCCCTTTGATCTACAGTCTGAGAAGGATTCTGTTACAGAGAGTGTGCTGTGGTGGTCAGTGAAATACTCTGGCTTGTTGTGTTCTGTTGGCTTTCTATGCTCATGTATAAATATCAAAGTATTAAGATGCAAGGGACTGGTTTCTGTTATTCACTACAGCTGTTGATGTGCCTGAGCAGGCTCAAATTACTGAGGAGTGCTATCGAGGCAATGGTGTGACTTACCGCGGCACAGCTTCTTTCACTCTCACGGGAAAGAAATGTCAAGCCTGGAGCTCAATGTCACCCCACCGACACAATAAAACGGCAGACCAGTTCCCAAACGCGTAGGTGCATTTCCCATTTCCATCTTTCATTGGACAATGACCCCTCATGAGCTCGTTTAGATTTGCATCATCTTTACACAACCATGATTTCAAAGCTGGGAATGGAGTGTACTTGATAAAAATAATCCCTTCCTTTTCTTCTTTTTTTAATGTGGAAATCTTTTCTAGTAACCTCATTTTGAAACATACCACAGTTGTCACTATTACGCGTTAGACTAACTAACTGTGTGTTTCTACATCACTTCTAAAGGATTTAAGAATTATCATAAATTTCATCTTTTCTAGTAACCTCATTTTGAAACATGCCACAGTTGTCACTGTTATGCTTAAGACTAACTAACTGTGTGTTTCTACATCGCTTCTAAAGGATTTAAGAGTTATCATAAATTTTCCCTTATACTGAAATGAACTGATTCTATATAGGAGCTTATTCATAAATTCAAGTTTTCGCTTCCTAGTCTGCAGTTCATTAGAGCTTTGAGGAAGGGATGGTTTATTTTGTTATTCCTAATATTTACTATTTATTTATTCAAAAATGCAAAAAGCTATTTCTTTTTAAAAGCTATTAATGCATTTGAAAAGGTGAAAGGAATTATATCTTTAATATACATATGTGCGTTTACTTATCCTCATTTGTAAACAGTATTCTACTATAAGCATTTATCAGTGAATAAGTATTTGGCATATTTAAATATTCTGCATATGTTTCTTGATTTCTTTATGCTGGGAAAAAGATTTCTGTTGCACAGTGTTCATGATAAATGATATGTGCTAACTCTGTAGCAGACCTGCTTTCTAAAACGTTCTTTCAAGTTCTTCTCAGAGCAGTGGCATGGATGGGAATATAATATGCTTCCATTTGTAGGGACCTGAAGCAGAATTATTGCAGAAACCCAGATGCCGACAGCCGCCCATGGTGCTACACCACCGACCCCGGTGTGAGATGGGAGTATTGCAACCTGAAGAGGTGTGATGACCGTGTACCAGTGACTTTGCCAAAACCTCCTCAGACAACACTGGAACCAAATCCTGGTGAGAATACTTCCCGCTTCTCCCAGAAATGCTCATAACCAACAAGCTGGTTTTTATAGAAACATCATCAAAACTTTAATGAGGATGAAATACAGGAAACTCTAGATAATTACAGAATTTAATACAATACTGTATCCACTCTCTTCATTTTCTGAACTTTCTTGTAGAATTTTATAGCAGGATTTCTGTATTCGATTTTACATTAATTTTGCATCTTTTATCTACTACATCTGGCAATATTGGGAACAGAAGGAAACAGATGGCTAGTAGTATCCACACTACTGTGGGAGGGCTACTAGCAAGGACAGCAAATATAGAGGTGATGGCATTTTGCTGGCAACTGTTCCGAAAAAGTCTTTTCCTGTGCCATGCATTCACATTTCCAGTGCTCCACTTCCCACCAGAGGACAGCTGGCTTTTTTAACTCAGTTCAGATATAACTTTGTTATGCAGTAGATGGTTAGAGTGCTGCAACTTTCATTTTTTTTGCTATGACATGTTCTTCTGGTTAGAAGGCTAATAATTTTGGCTGAACATGTATTACTGCTTTTTACCTACTGTAAAATGTGGCATTGGACAGATATCAGTGTCTATAAGGAAGAGACCTCATGAGTGCATGGTCTTTGTGGGCCTGGCTTCTGGAGTCATGAGGGTTCAACTGAATCTAAGCTTCTTTGATTTATGACTTTCATGATAATGAACAAAACATTTAAAATGCAAGGAAATTAAAATGTGATTGTTAGCCATCATTGACACTATGTTGTCCTTTCGTTGTATACATATCATGTAGGAGGTGTAAGTCCTAGTACTATTTTCTCAAATTTATTTCTCCTTCGCCACCATTAAGTATGCACACATCCCAATTGCTCACAGCTAACAATCTTTTCCTTTTCCTCTTTCTTCACAGACTGCATTAACGGTAATGGTAAAGACTATCGTGGCACAGTAGCAAAAACTGGAAGGGGCAGGACTTGTCAAGAGTGGAGTTCTCAGAGACCTCATAGCCACGACTATTTCACTCCCATGACTCACCCAGGAGCAGGCCTGGATAGAAATGTAAGCAGCTGTTCATTTAATATTTGCTGTCATTGGGCTTCGCCTGTCTTCTTCATGGTCTCTCAGCAAGTATTTCATGCCAGGTCTTTGTGAATGAATTTATTTTCTCAGTTCAATCCAAGAACCTGATCATGATAACTCTTGTTGACACGAGTAGTCTGTAGTTTCGTTGGACACACAGATGCCCAGAAACTCTGTTGAATGCTTCTGCAGCACAGCCAAGGAGCTTCAGATGGGCACTTGCTTCTCCGCGCTACTAAGGGCTAACTGGAGTTGGTCTGTGGGCAGCATCTCTGCCTCCTCTGCCAGAAAGAGCACCTGCGGTCATAGGTTTCAGTAGTAGTAGTGACAGGTGAGATGACCAAGGGATCCAACGTTCAGTGCAAGTTCCTTGAGATATAGAGCTGACGGATTGCAGCCTGCATCCTCTACTAATTCCCCCTCCAACCCTCCAACTTCTGCCGCAGCCCGTCATACAAGGACTTGCATGAGTCTGACTCATCCTGTAAGTCATTCTCCATCTCCAACCTTCATCTCCCTAGTCCTCATCAGGTACTCATCACTAGTTGTCTGGACTTGTAACACCCCGTATACAATACTTGCCTGGTTTGGCACAAGCTCTGTTTGTGATATAAAGAGCTTGTCTGATATTGCCAGCTTGAATTATTTTTTCTCCAGGTATATGATTTTTAGAGCTTGCCTTGGTCAATACTCTGACAGCAGCATATACCCTGTATTGAATTCCACCTCAGGCTGGGGAAACTCCCCCAGAAAACCTGCCTGCTGTAACTTTTTGGTTCTTGCATTTGTCAGGGACTCTTGGGGAAGGGAAGCAAATATTTTCTCTTTTTTCCTGGGACAAGGGATGTATTTCAGAGTAGGGAAGAGAACTAGAAACATACCTGGTAGCATGCAGCTGTGTGAGGTGTCTGGGCTGAGCAGAGATCAGCCAGTATGGCCAGTAAGACCTAGAGAGTGATTCAGCTAACCAGGCACCCCACGTCGGGGTGCACGCTGCACCCCTGCCCCTGGCACTCACGGGCATCATCAAGTTGTGCAAGAGCAGGTTACACAACCACCGAGCGCCCCAGAGTCATGCAACCAGAGTGGGCGTGAAGAAACCTCGTGGCTGACCCTACTGCTCCTACTAACTGTAGTGGAAGCAGGAGTAGACAGTTTAGTGCTTTATAAAACCCCATCCTAGGTCAAGATCTCCTACTTTTTGAGAGCTCAGAGGTCCAAGCTTGCACCAGTGAAGCTTACTGGCTGAAGAGTGTTGAAGAGGTTTCATTTTTTTAATCTTTTTCTAAACTCACAGAGCAAATAGAAAAATTAAACAAATTTTGCCAAAATGAATTTGAAATCACTCATCAGTAAGGAAATGATAAAAAAAAATGTTTCCCAGATTTAATTTGGTTTTATTTTGAAATGTGCATTGGTAGGCTTTTTTGTCCCCTGCTTAATAGCTGATGTCTTTATTCTTCGTTACAGTACTGCAGGAATCCTGACGGAGACGTGAATGGACCTTGGTGCTACACAACAGACCCAAGAAAAGCCTGGGAGTACTGTGACATTCCCAAGTGCCGTAATTATTCCTTTAAAGACTAGTGTCTCTGTTTCCTGTAACTTTTTATGACAAGTGGAGGATATTCAGTGATTCATCTGAAAGACTGATCTGAGAAAGTGCAATAGCTTTAGATTGGAAATCAAGGCTGTGGGGAAGTGATGCTCAAAATGTGTGTCTGAAGTCTTAAGAATGGTGCTTGTTCCTTGGAAGGTGTTCCTTGGAAGGCCCAAACCCAGCACAAGATGTACCTGGAACCCACTGAAACTCATGGGGATGTTTCAAAATAGGGTTGTTTCTGCAGAAATTTGCCCTGCTCCCACCTGGTCACCTGGCATAACTGTGTGTGTGGCCAGGCTGAACAAGGGATGCTCTTATCCCAGCAATGTTTTTCCACCCCCTGCTCATGTGGCTCTGATTCTGTCCTGGATGTAAAAGAGATTTTCCCTGCTCTGATGTTGAACCATATCAGATGTCTGGAAAGCGCATCTGGCCCTAAATATTTAATCAAATACCCTTGTCTTTTTGTTAGTAGTAATCAAACTGTTCAGTATGCCAAATGAGGCAGTGCGACAAAGTGTACAATGATAAAGTTTTACAACATTATCATTGACACTGAAGTCCATTCACATCCATCAACAATAAAAGCTATGCCAGGAAGAGAGACAGTTCCCACTCAAAAGAAGGGTGACTTTCTTGCTGCTCTACCCTCTCAGCTGTGAGCAGCAGAAAATGTGCTCTGATCAAAACCCCAAATTGGAGCAGACAAGAAAAAGAAAGATGTTCTCTAACATGCACATACTCTAACTATAAAAATACTACTGCATTGAAAGTGTTCAGCTGGGACTCTTAGCGGAAAAATGACATTTTCACATGGCTATTGTACTCATTTTGAAGATCTAATTTCTTTTTAATATTAATGCTTTTTTTATTGTTCAGATGTTCAGCTAAAGCACAGAGAAAATGTGGCTTTTGCCTTTAATTTCATTAGTTCCTTTTGTCGGCAACAAATTCTGAATTCTGTGTTGATAAGAGTCAGTTTCCCATGCCTAAATAAGAACTACCCTTTTTTAATAACTCAGAGTCATCTGAAGTACCAAAAGATCCAGAAGTACTAAAAGATAAGAGCGGACAAAATTTTGTTCCACAGAGACAGTGATTGAATTTCACGTGCTGTACCACCAAGATTAGTTTGAAAACAGGTGCCAGTGCAGCTTTTGCATTGCTGGCATCTGTAAGAGTACATTTAAAGATGTTGGGAGAATTTTTTTTCTTTCTTTCTGTTTCCTTCTCCTTCCCCTTCTGTTTTTTTTTTATCTGACTGTAGATCTATTCCTGCGTAATTTGCTGACCACTGAAAAGTGTATGTGAAAAAAAATTGCCAGGCATTTTTAAGTGTTCCAGATGAAGGTAACCTAACAAAATATAGGTGGTACGTGGTATATAATTGCCTGCAGAGAATCAAAAGGTGAAGTCACAAATGTAACAGGTTCATCTTCTAGTTTTCTGAGCGCATAATGAATGTATAGCAAATACGTTGAAGTTCCTTATAGTGATTTTTTTTTTTTCTTATTCTGTAGCTCCTGCTCAGTATGAGTGTGGAAAAGCCAAGTTCAGACCAAAGCTGTGTGCTCAAAGGATTGTTGCTGGATGTATTTCGCATCCCCACTCCTGGCCCTGGCAAATCAGTCTCCGAACAAGGTATAACCATTCCCCATTAGATTAGACTTTACATGTAAGGAAACTTTGCCTCTCATAGGATGTTATAGTATGTGGTTTCTGCATACTAAACTTGCTTTTGATTTAAAAATAGCTCAAAGCTATACATTATGTGTGCTAATCTCAAAGACGTTAGTTTAGACATCCAAGAATGCTCTGTTTTGTGATAAATACCTAGAGAATCAACTGGTAATTTCCAAACCATTTTCACTAAAAGGCAGAGTGACTTTAAATCTGCTACTGTATTCTACAGTAGAATATCCTATAAGTAGAACCAACAGTTTGAAGTATGGATAGTACAGATCTTGATCAGTCCTTCCACCTAAGCGTTTGATTCTACTGGCAAAGTTATTAGCAAAACTAGGAACCAAGGCCAGTTGCAGAGCTCTCTGACTGTGATCAGAGCGAGATAAAAGCCAGAATCTCTAAACTGGTATACGTCACTGCACGTAAGGTTTTCCACTTATAGAAATACTGGTAAAGAACAAAGAGCTAGGTGTTTTCATATAAGGTGTTATAAAAATGTCTACACAACACTACTGTCATTGTAAGAAATATTGTTCAAGGAAAGTAAAATGTTGATTCTTAGTGAAAACATGGAATAATATCTTTAGTTTGTAATGGTGTACATGTTAGAAAGATTACCTGGCGAACTTCAGTAGAATTAACTTCCCCACTTTAAACCAATGCCCTTTTCATGCCTTTCTGCTCCGTTACAGTTTTGGCCTGCATTTCTGTGGGGGAACTCTGATAGACCCTCAGTGGGTTCTTACTGCCGCTCACTGCTTAGAAAAGTAAGTATCTGATATAGCATTTTCTTCCACTAGATAGAAAATCAGAGCCGAAACACAATGGACCCAATAACCAACCTGAGCTGTCTCTCAACTCAGCTTGCAAACAGTTGAGAACTGAGCCAAGTCTATTCGTCACTCATTAAAGCAGAGTTTTAACTCAAGAAACAAAGAGTGACAGTAATAACTTTTGCCAACTTGATTTCGTGTGCCATAATAAGGGATTAAGAAAGTAAGTTTACGCCAGACCTGGCTTTATTTTTCTGGCTTTGGCAGAACAAGGTGCCCAATAACATCATAAGTGGTCTTTGACTTGGGTATGTGTTCATCAGCTCACCATGTGCAATTATTTCCAACAGGTCCTCACGGCCATCTGCGTATAAAGTGTACCTTGGATTACACAAAGAAAGAGCATTAGAAGCATCAGTGCAAAAACGAGACGTTGAGAAATTGTTCAAGGAGCCACACAGGGCGGACATTGCTCTGCTAAAACTGAGCAGGTACCCTTTCACCTGAAGCGTTCCTTCAGGTTGCTAGCGTCATGGAAATATGTGTTTCTGTAGATACTGTGTTCCACCAGTGATTTAGGACCCTCTCTTGCTTCCCTTTCTGCAGAAGCTCCAGTGGAAACCAAGGTGATTCAGCTGCAGGGCTTCAGAAGGGGAAAGGGCTGCCTTGGGAGGGGAGGAGGGCTGGGGACCATGACCCAGGCTGGCAATGCGCTGGGTGCCAGCTGCTGGGAGGGGAGGCAGTGGCAGCAGAGAAGGAGGAGGCAATGCCTAGAGGAGCTTTCAGTCCATGTTTCTACATGTTCCTACCTTGATAAGGTAACAAGGATTGAAAACTGCGATCTTAGCATGATGTCGGTCCATACTGTGTCCGTGCTGTGGTAGGGAGATTTCTTCTTCCAGCAGGTCTGTCCAGTGTGCAGGCAAACAGTATACACCTTTGATGCAATACCCAGAATGGCCCTTTTTGCATCTGTTTCCATTCATCTGAAACTCTCCCCGAGGCACTGTGCAATCAAAAGGAGTATGTCCGTACAGCTGCCAGCAGATGTGAACATATGGTGCCTGTGCTTTGATTTCCGTGGCTGTGATGCAGGTCCAAAACAGATGCAGGGTCAGCACAATTAATGTGGCTTCTTCATTGAGCCTAGCCTTAGCTGCACCCGAAGGCGAGTCAGACTGGGTTCTGCTGTGTCCTAAGTGTCTGGTTTGAAAGTGATTTATAAATAGACAAACTGGATGCAGACAGAGCAAGCTAACACCTGTGTATTAAATGTCACTCGTTCATACCCCTAAGTAGCTTTGTAATTAGGTTTTGTTGGCTATGCATTAGCCTAAGTCAAAGCATTCTCTTGGATTTGTGTTAGTAATTTTAGTACCAAAAGCCTCTAACTGTTCTCCATTTCAGATCTTTTCCTTTTGTGTATCACATTCTGAGGGAATAGAGCCTAAAGCAAAAGTAGTTTGCACATCAGAAAAACCCCTTACCTGAAGCGCAAGATTTCAAAGGAAAAACGTTGACTGTATATAAAATCTTTTGAGAAACCTGAAGGTGGTATCAGGGATAAATGTACTAATGATTGATCCTGTACGAGTCTCCTGTTTGTTTCTTTCAGCCCCGCAATCATTAATAATCACGTAATCCCGGTTTGTTTGCCAAAAGAAAATGCTGTGTTAGGAGGGAGAGAGGAGTGCTACGTGACGGGCTGGGGGGAAACAAAAGGTGAGACAGCATTAACACATCTGAAAGATCTGTGTTTGGAGATTGATAAAGACTTGTATCCAAAGTGTGTTCTCTTTGTGCCAAAAACACCCCACACAAGCTTGCATGCATACCTCTTTCATCAAAATTCATCGGCTGCTGCCATTCTTCCTACTGTCTCCCTCTGATTTAGCGTCCCCCAAATCACTCAGAGCCACGTAAACTGGAACCCCCCAAACCAACACTAAGAGAGGAGAACCGGACCTAAGGAGCTGCCAACTCTTACCTCTCACTCCACTCTGCTTTTCCCCAAAGTGGGCTTTTAAGCAGTCAGAAGAAAAGTTTTTCTAGATTTAGGCTATTTGTTAATCACATGAAGGTGAGTTTGCTCATTCTCTTGGATGATTTTTTTTCCCCCAATCAGCCTGGTTCACATCTCACACAAATATAAACAAAACTCTCATTTTCAAAACCTCCCACTCTATCTTGATTGAGAAGGACATCAGCACCTTCTCTGCCTCCTTGCTTCTGCCCATCGTGCTATTTTCACCTGTTTACTTCCTACCTCCTTTCTTCCACAGAGAAGAAAACTCAGATACAGAGAAATAAAATGGCTGGGGGATGACTCCCACAAATACCAGTGGATACCGGTTCCATATGGATGTACTGTGGGAGCAGGAAGGTCAATCAGTGCAGCGTGGGTTTTGGTGGGTGGTAGAGGGTGATGAGTACCATAATACTGATGCTGCTTACTGATTTTGGTATCACTTCATATTTTGCCTGGAAAGTATATGCATAGTGCATAAACACTATGCTTACTTTTCTGTTTATCCATATCACAATATTTGTTTTGTGAAGATGTTCATTCACTTTTGTTATTTATTGTGTTTTGGTTTTGTTTTTATTTGCAAAGGAACTGGTGGTGAGGGCTACTTAAAGGAAACTGGTTTCCCTGTAATCGAGAATAAAATATGCAACCGCCCTGAATTTTTGAATGGTAGAGTCAAAAAACACGAGCTCTGTGCTGGGAATATTCATGGTGGCACCGACAGCTGCCAGGTAAGAAAGTCTGCGAGCATCAGAGTTGGTTGTAAGCACATTCAAATCAAATACTGCTTTTCTTCCTGGGCTTTAGAGGCTCAGAATTTGCCTTGGGATGTTGCCACACCACGTGACATACGAGCTGAAAAATGCACATGGATTCTTGCTTGATTCCCTTGCTCCCTTGTCTGCTGCTAGGAAGTGGGGCAGGTGATTTTTCAGATAAGCCTGAGCTACAGAGCACACGGTAATACACAGCTGCCCGAGCCAGGTGTATAGAAGCCAACTTAGAATGACTAACAGTCTGATTTTTTTTTCCCAGACCACTTTGCTTGCCTTGGCTAGGCTAGCTCCAATGTCCAAGCTAGCTCAGTTAACAACCTGAGACATCTCAGTTATCAGTCAAGGGACAATGCAGTGGAGCCTGCCGTGCAGGCATACCAAGGGCCAAAAGAACTACTAATTTCCAAGTGTCGGTGCCAGTGCCTGTGAAAATCACACCGGGTGAGGCAAAATGCATGCTGGACTTCCCTTTGGCTGAAAAGGAAGAACACAGTTGGCAATAGCTCATCTCACAAGTGTGGCATGAAGCCTTTCTCCAGAAGTCTAGGTTTTGAAATTGAGTTCTTCAGTTTCTTTAAATACATGAAAGGGCTTAGAAAAGCTTAACATACTGAATCAAAAGGGAAACTTTCCTCCCTGAAACGCTAAAGATGTCTCTGTAAAGAAGTGTCAAAACAGCAGAGTGCCTGGCCAGCCGGCAGGTCAACGCCATTGCCAACACAGCGCAGCTACCCTAGGCACGAGCACTGTGATGGGCAAGCAGGCCACTGAGGGGGGTCCACTCCTGTCTTAAGACATATGGCTTGAATGCATGCATTCACTTGGTCTTGGATCATCTAGTAACAATAGGAAGCCATGAAGACCTCAGAGAAGAGACTGAGGGAGGAAGCGCGGTTTAAGTTACTAAGGGCAATCAGATTCCTTCTCACCAAATCTTACGTCAAAAATAAATGTAATACCTGGGTGATGGGAAGAGATGACTTTGTAAAAGCATTCAACAACATGCATAGGGAACTCTTCTCTGGATAGAGCTCCAGTGTTTTCTTCTAAACGGTGTGACCCTCAGACACGAGAGGTACCTTTGTTTCCGTGCCTCCTGTCCGAAGGCCGCTCTTGCACACGGGTCTGTCCGTGAGGGAATCATCCTGTTCTTTCTCTGTTTAGGGGGACAGCGGAGGACCTCTAGTCTGTCTGGACCAAGATAAGTTTGTCCAACATGGAGTCACCTCTTGGGGCCTTGGCTGTGCCCAACCCATGAAACCTGGTGTTTACGTTCGAGTTTCCACTTATATTCCTTGGATTAAGAGTGTAATGGAAAACAACTGATCCTGGGTATGGACTGCCCTCTCCTGGAAAGCAGTATGCACGTTAGAAATACAAGATTCCAAGTGCAATAGTAAAGCTACAATCATTCATAAGAAAGTAAAAAAAAATATGATCATCCATTTTAAATTGCTATAAATTAACAGTTATTGCCAAGAAACCCAACTGACGGTGTGTTACCCTCTTTCTGTAAGTTCTATGGTTTGCTATGTTTGACAATAGACTTACCCACCTCTGAAATATGTGTCAAAAATCCCAACCTCAACTGTACCTGGACATCTGCATTTCAGTCTTACATTAGACTCTAGAATGACTTTTTCTTCTAAGGTTGACTTTCCCAAGATATTGTATTTCCAACAACTGAAGAAAGGAGAATACTTCTCTTTTTCTATGAGTTGCCTGAGCCTCTTACCAAGTTAATGATACAAACCAAAGAAGAATCTCACTGTATATATCTTGTATGCTTGTCAAGTTTTATTAGATATATCCGATAGCATTAAATACATGGGATGGAAAAAAAGAAGCAGCAAACACATTTAGTTTGTATTTTCATATTTTTTATTGACATGGAAATCTGCGTGTCAGCAAAAGTACAAATGTTGCATCAAAGATATAAAACAGTGAATAAAAAATAGCCTCACCCTAAAGTTAGTCCGTAGCAAAGACAGAGAAATAACTGTCAATCATTACAGCAAGTAATGACAATGCATTTAAGGTATTATAAAATTTTGTGGTCTGTAGTTCCCATTTGTTTCACTATATAGCTTTATCTCACTATATAACCGTTACATGTACATTTTTCTTCTCTAAAAGAAAATGATGTACACATGCCTGTGGTTATAGGAAGTGAAAATTCAGACCTTTAGAAATGCTCTCCAGGGAAAGCTTAGCTCACACTTGCCAAAGTTAAACACTTGCTAACTATGAACGCCTGCTCTCATCCTGCACCCCTTGCATATCTGCCAGGGAGCACCCCCCAGGGGCCTGGGGACCCCCGGCTCTGCCTGGCATCCTTCCTGCATCCCCAGGGTGGACTCCAACCAGCACAGCTATTTCCTGGGGCAGGATTTGCCTTGTCCACTTTCTGCAGTGCAGAGGTCCACTCCCAGGCATGCCAAGCTGTGCATTACTTAATTTAGATTGTCTTCTTACTTTTTGTATGCATGTACATACAAAAGGGATGGGTTGCATCCTAGGAGTTCTTTTTTTTCTCCCCTAGACTTAAAGAGAGAGCTATATAACAGAGTTAGGTGGCAGAGTGATTTTTGCAGGTTCTACACCTGGAGTCTGATTCTGGGAGAAGCAATGATCTCAGGGCATTGCCTTCCTGAGCAGGAACAGCTTTGATAAAGCATTTCCCACCCACCTCTCTGGTCAGGGGGATTCACTGAGCACAAATACCCTCCTGTATATTTTCCATATCCATTTCTTCCCAGCCAAGAAATCCGCACAATACTTCCCTGACAACAGAAATTCTGTGTTGCAGCTTGGTGTTTGATTTGTTAAGCTCTTCAAATGTGAACTCTTGCAGGCATGGTTAATAGCTGGCTTGTAGGCAGATAAACCCACCCCTGCTGTCCTTGCCAAACTGGCCAGAAATGCCTGGACGTACCTGAACAGCTACAGAAGCCCCACCTCATAACCTTCTAAAGTGTGTAAATTGTGTTCTTTTCCTGCTGCGAGACTGTCAGTGGCAACAGAAATTGCCACTTATCACTAACCGCTCGCACAGACTAGATGAAGTAACCCGGCAACTTTGGTAGCAGCGGTACATTTGGACCAAATAGCACATTGACCTGTTTGTTGGTCTGAGGAACCTCTTTGCTGGTAGGAAGAACACGGCTCCTGGGTGTCCATGGTCACGTTGATCATGTGCCTTTGGTGATGGCAAGGTGATCCTTTGTCTGCTACGCACATCCCATCTCTCACGGAGCTTCTGAAGTATAACACATGCAAGACAACTACAGCTGACAGTGTTTGGTCTCTCCTTGAAGGGGTACCTCTCACTGAGCGAGCTGGATCACGACAGCTTTTTTACTGTCAACCAGTTTAGCAGAATACCACTTTGCCTCCTGAGATTTTTGTAGGACTTTCCTATAAGACTCAATGCTTTAAGCAGTTTGAAGCACATATGAATTTAAAATATTTTTTTTTAAACAAGCATCCTGTCCGGTGGTCTGCATGCCCACGTGCACGCACATCCGTGCAGCTGGTTTTCCACGTGGCCCTCCCTGGCTGAAGCTCTCCCTCTGCTTCCACCTCCTCATCTGTCCGCTCTCACCCACAACCGTGTAACTCCACCGTCACCAAACCGCTCGTCACACACCAGGTTACTGCCCACTTCACAACCTTCATGAGGCAACCCAAAGTCTCACAGGGATGGAAGGATTTTCTGCCTTGCAAAACCCCCATTAGGGGTAAGAGTTAACACAGGAGTCGTTTCCAAACACAAACTCTACCTGAAGTTGTTGCGTACTATCATACTAGAAATCAAAACACATACACAGGCTTTTTCCTGCTGTCCTTTACAAAATTAATTTTTAGAAAATAAATAATACATCCAAACTTCTGATACTGCTCCTAGCCATTTTACATACTGAAATATTTCACTTGCATTCTCTTCTGAGCAGCACATGATGCTATGCAAAATGAAGCACAGTCTGAAAGGCCAGAAACAAGTCTTTGTGTGTCTCCGTTCTCAACACATTTTAGTAGTCCACAGACAGCAACAGCTGGCAAGTAATATGAACCCAAAAGTCGTAGCTTTAAAGGATCTCTACAGTCCATCTCAGACAGTGGTGGTGTTTAAGACACTAATTTTAAAAAAATTAAAATTCACAAAGAGAAAACATTAAAAGGAAGAGGGAGGCTCAGCTCACACAGCATCGCCTCTGACCGCCTCGCCCTGGCCCACAAGGGCCGTGCCCGTGGCACGGGCTGGCCGGGTGCAAGGGAGGCAGGGCTGAGCTCTCGCGGTCAGACACCCACGCTCCCACCCTGCGCTGAGACACGGCCCCTGGCCAGTGCAATCCCACCGCTTCCAGTTCAGGGCTGGTCTCTGCCAGCCAGCCCCGAAATGTTGTCTTCAACTATCTGCAGAAGACCATGTTGGTGTAGGAGAAGGTTTCTCCCTGCAGCAGTAGCTCCAGTTTTGGGTTGTCTTCTAGATATCACCAATTAGCCAGATGTATTATGAGATGCTCATTTAGTTTCCTATCTTTCAGTCAGTACTGACTTTTGCTAAGCATCCCATTGACCTTTAACTGTGCCTCAAAGGAAGCTGGAAACAGTCGTGAAAGACAGCCCTTTATCGCTAACTGCTCAAAGTATGCAAACATTAAATGCAGATTACCAGTAAAGGTCCTGTTTTCCTCCAGCAGGGCCGGTGGTATGGGCAGTTGCTGGGGAAAGGCAGGGAGAATCGGGAACTGTTGAAATATACGGTATACTCCTCACCATAGGAAATCCCCCTGGGCAGGCACCTGCCTATATGTGCTCTTAAGATGGTGAGACTGGAGCAGAAGTCATTCAGCTGCACTGACGGTAACATTAGCACTGCTCATTTGTGGTGTGAACCTTCAAAACTCAGTCCTATATTTTCTTATGCCAAATATGTTCTTTTCTGAGCTTATAGAGCCTTTTACAAGAGCTCCTTGGCTTTCTTTTGTTTATTAATTCTCTGTTGGTAACAGGATGGCTTTCGAACACGACATTTCGAACATTTCCAAGTCCTTCACTGTAAGGTGTGTATTGTTTACCTGTGAGGTCCCGGTGCTCGATGAAGGTCGCAGAGCTGAAAGGGAAGGCCGGCTGTCCCTGCTACCTGCTTGCAGAGCCACAGATTCAAGCTATTCTGCTACTTGCCAGCTTCAACAACCAGGGCCAGTTAACTTCTCCAAATAACCAAAGCTCTTGTCTCATCCCTGCCCATCTTCCCAAGACAACATCCCTGTCAACAATCCAAATAGTTTATCCCCAAGACAGAAAGATGACAAATAATAACAATGGACAGAAGACAGAAATTGCAGGTCACCTTGGCAGTCATCAGGGTGAGGGAATTTGGTTTGAAGGCAGGGGCAGAGAGAATATTTTAGAAGGGAAAAAACCAGCATGCTTTTGAAAGAGAGGGCTGGAAAAGGTCATGACAGGGGAGAGCAGGTAGAAGCCCTTCTCTCGGAGATACGGGGGTCCCTGGCCAGGGGACAGGACAAGGGAGTGTCACATGAACCCCAGCTGGGTCTGGGGGCAGGCACTAATGGGCAGCAGGACAATCTGACCTGCAGAGCTGATGCCCTGTGTAGGATGTGACACCTACAGAAAGCCCTGGGAAGGAGAGGAGGAGGGCTGCTGCCGCGTTTCAGAAAGCCCTTGAACAGGGAGGGAAGCAGGGCTTTTGTGGCAGAGGCTTGCTGGGGGAGAAGATCAGACCAGGGCGAGGGTTTCCTGATGCACACCTCTGATTCCCATCCCTCCCAACCAGAGAAAGAGCTGCTCTGATCAGCGTGCTCCTTCCTGAGCCGTCAGACCTTCTATTTGTCCAGATTCTCCAGGGGCAAAGGAGAAGAGGTTGAAATACTCATCCTCTTCTCCTCAAAGTCATCCAAACCTTAAACAAGCAGTACCGTTTCAAACCCTCCCCACCCAAAGGTATATGTTAACAATACAAATAAACAAATGGCTCGAATAGATAAAGAAATAAATAAGAGCTCACTGAGCTGGATAGTGCATCTTTTTAAAGCTGTTCTGTTCTCTACCAAGAACCACAGAGTGCTCCCTTCCTGCAAACAGCATACTCAGAAAAAAAAATGAATTTATTCCATATTTATAGAAAAATACACCGCTCGTTTTAAATGTCCTTATGCTTAGAAGAACCTGGAGTTTAATCCATACTCGGCAGCAAATGTTGAAGTGATGGCAGGTGGAGAATAAATTCCCAGTATGGGAACACGGTTCTTTGCTCAGTGCTGTCCTTCAAAGGTCAAATACAAGAATTGATGTCCTGGCGTTTCCGTTTCTTGCCACATTTACCGAAACGACTGAAGAAACAGAAGGGGAGAGGAGAAACAGGAGAAGATGTAGTCCAAGTTGCAGTCCAAGCTGCAGTACTGAAACATTTATTTTCTGCACAGAAAGTTTCCTCTTTCTTTAGCTTGTACATTGAAGCAGGCACAAGTTGTTGATGTAATATCCAAAGGCACTGCTTGAAACATTAATGTATAGTGCTAGCTCCTCAAGAAATTCAGCCAAGGTGCAAATGTTCCCTGCGTGCCTGCAGTGCAATGAAGAGTCTGGCTTGCTGTGTGCCAGGAGTGGGAAAGCTGTGCCTACAACTCTTCAGCTACACATTCCTCTTGTACGTGACTGTTCAATGACTTCACAAATTGTGGCAATGCTCCCATGATCAAGGGCCCTTCTTCACAAGGTGCTTTGATTGAGGTAATGGCTGGTTTTCTTGAGCAGAGAGTTTCAGGCTATACTTCACAGTATCTCTTTTGCACACTATTACTTTCTGCTTCTAGAGGTGCATAGGACAACTTTGTGTCTCTATGAGAAAAATACAAATTCTATCCCTATTCTTTTTTTTAACAGCCTGCCTTAGTGGTACTGAAAAGTTCATGTTTCTATTGAGGAAAATACCACCTGCTCATAGCATCTACCTGACTAGGGAGTTTACTTTGACACTTGGAAAGCATCGATAATTTATGACAGTTGATAAGGTCAGAGGAGAACACCCTCGGGAAACCTCACCCAAGTAAAAGTAAGAAAATACATATTATACCTTGAAAGCTGTTCCACATCCTCCACTGTCTCTGGTAAGGAGATTCCCTTTGATTCTGGTAAAAGTAACACTAGGAGCCCGCAGACAACGGCTAGAATACCTACAATGGACATTGAAGAAATACAGAAGCAAAAAGGAAAATCGTTACTTTTCTTATTTTCAGGGTTTATCCACTGAGGAAAGTTTATTCAGATTAAGGTTGAAGTGAGATTTTTGAAGTGCAACAGCTATTTCTTATTACCCTACTCTTATCAAACTCTTCTATGCTACATTAGTTTAATCTATTACAAAAAAACCTTGAGGGCTAGTGGTTCATTTGCAGCCTGAATTGCCCCTAAAGGGACACCTTAGAAGTCATAAACCTGAGATAAGTGCACATAGGCAAGAGCATACAGCTGCACTGGAGCCAGGATGGTACTTCTCACATAAGACAAATCTGCCTTTGTTCAAGGGGCTCTATCACCTAGATGCAGCTATGTTTCTTGAGACCATTGAGATTTTCCTGAAATACTCTCTTCGTGTATCCACAGCCAAAGTAGATTGTGTAATTCAGAATAAAAATTCATCCTTGGGAAAGAGCATTCAGATACAGAGCCAATCTGAAATAGTTCATCAGGAATGGTTATTTTGGAATAATTTCCTGCATAGATGTAATATAAATAATGTAATAAGTCAAAAATAGAAGGGTTGGAGCAAAAAGTAAAATGTTCCCTGACTGTTGCACAGTCATAGAATCATAGAACAATAGAATGGTTTGGGTTGGAAGGGACCTTAAAGCCCATCCAGTTCCAACCCCCTGCCATGGGCA